AAAAAAAAAAAAAAAAAAAAATAGGAGGGGGGCAAAAAACGAAATAAAAAATTATGCTGGAAAAAAATTGCATACCATAATTATATATATATAAAAGTATGATACCGCTCGGAGGAGATATATGTTTCATGTCGCATGAAATTATTTTATACCGACGCGTTGGAATGTTCAAAAATAATTGCTTCTGCGTACGTAGCATGGATGTAGATACGGGTAAATCTAATTATAACCATACCCTCGTGTATTAATGTTGGGTGAACAATGCTTTTCTTTTCTTCCTATTCCCTTTTTTGTTCAGCGCAACGGCGCTTAACCCGCTATACCGACCCAGTATTTTTTTTTTTTTTTATTTGCACGCGCAGTCCTGTGTATTATTCTATTCTCTGATATACTTCTAATGTCGAGCCCAGAGAGTGGCATACCGGCCCTGCTGCAGTGCATACGTTTCTTTTTTGTTTGTGGGGCGCGCATACGCCTAACGGCATATAGAATCGCCAAAGGGTATCCCTTTTACTATAAGCAAAAGGGCGTTTTTATATATATACCTGCTGCTATATAAAAAATGTACCGCAATAGTCACAAAATTGTTTTATGCATCCCTGGAGCCTATAAATATGGTAAGCTAAACGTTTCTATTCATTACTGACACAGAAGGAAACACAGCATGGTACTACCTCCTCATGCCAAGTTGTAGCGTCATTTTTGCTTTTTCTAATTTGTTTGGGAATAGCGAAAAGGAAAAATATCACCTTCGGGGGGGGTATAGCGGGCAGCTAAAATGTTAAGAAAAAAAAAGAAAAAAAATGCAGCCATAAAACGAAATCTCAAATAGACTTCTAGAAAACAATGTGAGGCTAATCTGTGTCATCCCCTTATCGTAAAATTTATAAACAGTATTGTGCATGGAAAAAGAAATTGCCCCATACGATTATCTTTATTTCATTTTATTCTTTTTTTTTTGGCGCAAACAACATATGGCTGACCCGTAAGACAAAGTTAGGTATAGGGGGGGGGTATTTTTTCCCGTTCTCTTTTTTGTGAGCGTTTTTCTATATGTGAGCTTCCCCCCTTTTTTTGTTCCTTAGCTGTGTATACAGTTCTTTATGTATGTCGCATAACAAGTTGACACTTCAGGGACAGAGACAAAAGGGATCCTACCATTTTATATGCTTCCTCTGTTCTGCCTCGAGTTAACCGCAGGAAGCAACGTTGTTTATCTACATTTGGCAATTTTTTTTTTTTTTTTCTTTTTTATTCATGCTAGTGCGGGTAAAAAAAAATGTGAAAAGACATCTCTATGTAGAGCATTATGTAGGGGGAGGCGGGAACTACTTATTCATCCTCCCCATGGTAATGAAAAAAAAAAAAAAAAAAAAAAAAGGAACACCTCCTATATCGCTTCCCCTAACCCTATCGCAAATTTCACTCGGTGGAAACACTTTCATAAAATTTTACATGCGCGTCGACTTCATCTAAAAACTGAAATGCAGTTGTTTCAAGTTCACATAATTGTGTGTGTGAGAGCAGAAATGCAGGCTTTTTATATGCTTTTTATATGCTTTTTATATGCTTTTTTTTTTTTTTTTTTTGCCAGCATATTTTATTGTCCTTTTTGCGCTTTACCCTATCTAAGAACCTCTTCTGTTCTATCTGAGAAGGGGGGGAAATGATTTGTTCAAATGTGTACCTACGTAAGGTGCGCATGGAAGTTGGTCTACCTCTCACCCCGGGAGCACATCACAATAAAAGCTTTTGGTCAAAATACCGGTTCGAAGGAGTCCACTAAGTTGTGTAAAAGATTGGTCACAGCTACAAAAGGGAGGAAATATTTTTTTTTTTTTTTTTTTTTTTTCATCATTTGGTTGGAAAAGACAAAGTAGAACACCCAGTGGGTGCGATGCAGCTCCAACTGTCCCTTTCTCTCCCTCCCATTTTTAAGAGCCTTCCAATTGTAATTCTCTGCGAACAAATTGTTCTCCATTTTTAAAGTTACAAATGTTTGAAGGGTCATCCACTTCATCCAAATATTTTTTATACAATTCACCTGGCAGGACATCCTCCTACAAATTGCATGCGCACATTTCAACGTTCATGGTGAACTCACAAAAATACAGGTTACCAAATGGGGGTCACCATCTAACTCATCACGCAAACCATGCTGCATCTGCTGAGGCATAAACATGTCTGCACAAAATGCACATGGTCACACATGCACTAAATTTGCAAAATAAAAATGCCCCATTTGTGCATTTTCCTTGGCGAAACTCTGCCTCACCGTTGGCTGGAGAATAATTAAAGGAGTGTCCAAGGCTGCCGTGTCCCCTTTTAAATGTAACTTGAACGCTTTTTGCTTTTTGTCATCGTACGCTTGTGGGGGAATAAAAAAAAAAAATCAAGTGAATTAGCTTCTATGCATAGACTGCTTATATTATACAGCTATTAAAACGGGACAGTTTCCACTTTACACATGCATCAGGCAGCACGCTCATGCTACACTAAAGCAACCGAGCAGAGGGATATCCCCCTGCTGTATACTCCCCTCCTGTCGTACACAGGTCTATGTTCAAGTCACCAGGCTGGTGAGTCTCTCCCTTTGCAAAGGGTGGGGTTCCTATTCCCTTTGAGGCCAACAGTGCGCATTGGCAAAGCACAGCGAAAAGGAAGATTTTCAAAATCGGGCCCTTCATATTTTCCAGCGAGGTACTACACCAAATGGGGGCATGCGCATGTATACAAAAAACTTATAGACCATGTGCCCCACAACCCGTTCAAAGGTGAAACGTACAGACAACAGTGGTCGAAAAAAAATGCTACAAAAAAAAAAGACGTCAATAATTTTGCTACAGAGGGAATTTTTTTTCCATTTAGGAAAGTTATATGAAATAGTATTTAAAAAAACACAAAACATATGTACAGTTACGAATTAAAACGTGGGAAAATTTTAAACAAAATGGGTTCCCCATCCGTATGTCTTTTCATTTGGGAAGATGATAACCAACCGGGGGGGATTGGCGCAAAACGAAGCAGTGCTCCGTTCGCTGCCAATTATCAGTGTATGTACGGAAAAAAAAAAAAAAAAAAGTAATAATAAAATAAAATAACGACTTGGGGAACCCACTGATTTGCACAAATGTCCCCCCATTTGTGAAAAACTTTTCCCAGAGAGAGAAGCAGGACACGCCTTAAATATGTTCAAACTAGTATGCACTCGATTATGCATCACACTTTTCAGCTGTCATCGCATTATTCACGCGTACGCATGAGGTGACATGCCCACCGGCCTGGAGAGAGCATTGGCTGATTCCCTTAACCGATTCAACCCTGTCCGTCCAGGACCTTCTGCCGCAGCGCGCTAATGGAGCCCAGCTTCTCCTCATAACTCATGCACCTCCAGGAATAAAACGGAATGGCGATTATGCTGTAGCCCTTAATCAGCAAGTAATTTATTTTTACTAATGTCTCCGACTTCACAAAATAATTATTGTTCTGAAAAATTTCATACGGGTCGTAGGACATGTCGCAAATTAGAAGAAGCTGTTTTTTTTCTGTCTGGACATTTCCATCTGCGTTGGTACCTACCTCCCTCGCGTTTTCCATGTCACAAGATGAAGCAGACTCATGCTCCTCTTCCCTGAGTTCATTCCGCACACTTACTCCCCTCAAGAAGTCCAACTCGACGCCTTGCCCGGGGGAGTAGAAAAAATCCTGCGGCTCCAAAAACAAGTAAGCTACATAGTTGTCAAACTCGAACAGCGATATTGTGTACGCGCCCTCCTTAAAGTTCACCTTCAAATTTTTCGTAAAATTTTGAACAATTCCAAATAATTCTAAAGTCAGAATTTTATTTGGCACACGGTCCTGCATGGCGTAGGGGAAGGTATACACCAAGGGTGAGTTGTCCTCTGGTGAAGTGCCTTCTTCCTCTTCAGCTGCATCGAATCGGTGCCTGCTTTCCCCCCACAGGGTGATACCCTTGTGAAAGTACTCCACAAAAATATACACACTTTGATCCTCTATGGGGTAGCCCACCTGTTCGTCTTTACCCTGGCTCCTTATCAACGCGTAATGCTCTAAGCATTTCTCAATTGACCACCTGTGCACATTCTTCACCTCAGTATTCAGCAGATTCACAATAAAGCATAGCACCAAGCTATGATTATCCGCATTCTCAGATGAGTGGAAAATACCAAAATAGCGCTGCACTAATTGTTCATAAAAATCGGTATCCTCGTTGATATAAAATAGGCACTTCTGTCTCCCCTTGGCAGAATTCAAGGAACTCAAATTTAAAAGGGACAAGTTCCAAATGATTGGCGTTTTAAATAAAGCGGAAAAAATTTTTATTAGGCAATTGAAATTTAAGTACTGTTTTGAAAGAATAATTTCTCGACTTATGCAATTTAAAAAATATTTGAACTTGTCTTCATACTCACTTACACAATTTTGTAGAAGAAAATTCACCAGACATTCAAATAGGTCTACATTCAAATGGCACACCGCATTGGGATTTATTTTTTGCTTCCAATTGTATCGCAGATAATGTTGGGTTAGTTCCTCTTCAGAAAAAACGCCGCTCTTCATTTCGCTTGCACATGAATTCGGTTTATTTAAAATGCGTTCAAAAACTGGGAAGTAAAATTGGGAACTGCTCTGCACATCATGAATGGGATTGTACTCACTCGTAAGGTGGCCTAGTCGAAATGGCTCTATCGATGTGTTGCCACCATCAGCGGTCTGTTCGACCATTTTGTTACTAACCACATTGGTAAGCAAAACATTGGTACCTTCATTCGTGCCGTCACTCGTGCTGTAGATAGCTAAATGGGGATATTTTTCACAATCGTTCAAAATGTCAAAATTTACCTTGCCGTTCAGGTGATTTTCTCTCCCATGTATACACAGAAAATTTTGCACACAGGACAAAATTTGGTCATACTTAAACTCGATGTTCACATGGTTTACGCATTTTACGCTGGACAATATTTTGATCACTTTTATGGCAACGGGCAATGCTAAGTGGGACAAATTCACATTGGTAACAAATTTATCAGTGACGTGTGAGTGAACTCCTAGCCTGTTTAACGAAATTGTGAACTCGGCTAGCTGCACATTGTTTAAGTATGGAAGGAAAGCGGGGAATTTTTCCACAAGCAAGGAGTTTATGTCTTTATTTACAAAATCGAACTTGGAATAAACGTGTGCAATTTTTACCAGCTGATCACCATTCAACTTGTTTTGATTTTTTACAAAAATCTCCACAGATGAGTACAACAGCATGTCTTTTTTAATATCCAAGTAGGCAAGCGAAATCAACACATTGATCAAACTCTCCACATCAAACATGTGTAGCAAATTCAACGTTGCAGTGGCTATGCGGTTAAACAAATTTACGTCTCTTATTTGCACTTTACAAAAACTTAAACTTAAAATGGATAAATGTTCAGGTGTTGCCAAGTTTATTTTGTTCAAAAACGATAGGGATAACGATGCATACAGGGGAATGTAAACCAAATTTAACTTGGAACATAAAAAAGAAATGTCACATATCTCTTTTACTGAATATTTGCATGTCTGTACAGATATTTGATGCAAAACGTTCTTTACCATATCTTCTTCTTCATTCAGCTTGTTGTTTATTTCCAAAGATTTTAACACCCTATAACAATCCTTTGCGTCAAATGAACCTATTTCATCGTTTATTCTTTTTTTAAACATTTCATACATCGCTTTATTTTCGTTCGATATTCTTAAAATGTCGAATGCGTAATTGCCTAGGCTCTTCGCTGATAATTTTGCTACATCCCTCTCACTTGGCACAAACACGCTTCTCTTATGACACCAGGAAAAAAGGACCCTCCTTTGCTTTCTGTCCCTTACACATTTTATCATTTTGTCAGTTCCTCAGAAAATTGCAGGACCTGAGAGGGCAGTTGCTACGTCTGATAATGCTTCATTTTTTTTTTTTTTTTTCTCAGATTCGTCAACGGTCGGGGCTTCAGGAGGCAGCAAGATGGGCTTCCCCATTTGGAAATGAAAACATGGAGCGAGCGGCAAATCCTATGTGAAGACGAAATTGTAAGTGAAATTGCAAGCCGACGCTCTGTTGTGCCATAAAACGAGTCACGTGCACTCACGGGTGAACTTTCCTACTCTAGAAAAAAAAAAAAAAAAAAAAAAGCAACTGCTGCAGCGGGATATGCTTCAACGTTCTTTAAATTATATTATGTCACGCTTGGTTAATCTATTCAAAAGAGAACCATCAACATTATATATTCTACATAAGGGTATATTGTGGCTATGCCTCCTCATCACTGCATTATCGCCTTTTTCACCACACAAACGGTCGAACGAGTACACTTCCTGTTCGTAATTTTTTTTCCATTTTTTCCATGTGAAATATTGATTACATTTGACTCAACCCTCCTAGCTATTTGTGCTATACCTTAGAATGCATATACATTAGTGTTCACGTACGCATACACCGCTTGTCAACAATGTTCTCACACCCGTTGACGTACTTTCCTTGATTTGTACCCCCACTACATCCCACAGTTGGCAACCATGTAGAACGATTTTTACCTGACCAGCTAGCTTTTTTTTTTTTTTTTTTTTTTTTTTTTCTTGCTGCGTAACTATTCCCAATGGCGGCGTTTAAACCTTACAAGTTTATCCTTTTTGACAGAAACGTAAAGAATAGAAATTTGTACAAACACATAATTGCACACCTAGACTTGTCAATTCTTTGTAATGAAATTTATGTAAATGAAAAGCTTAGCCACTTCAAATACGAACATGTGAGTAGGAACAAATTAGTGTACTTTTCAGATCACAACTTGGTCGATAAATTGAAATGTCCCCCACTCAACCGAAATATCGAGGAGCACCTTCGACAGTTCGCTTCCAGAGCTACGCAGCATGCTCATGACCGCACAAATGAGGAAGACACACTTGAAGCAAAAACACTGCATACCGACACGACGATAGAGAGACAAAGTGGAATGCCTAACAAGAAAGTGCATAAAAATGATGAACAAAATATGAACACCCTCGTAAGTTTTATTACATATGATGGAAAAGAAAAAGACGAATTTATTAACACATTAAATTTGAACAGAAAATACGACGTGGACCACATAAACATTTTGTCCTTGAGCAACTGTGACTTCATTGTTGATGCACTGAGGAAGAATCCGTACAAACGGAGAATTTCAATCTTCTGCCCTTTTTATATAATTCATGATGGAGGTAGCTATGGTGATTCCCATCTCGATGGCGCCTGCAACAAATTCGAAGGAAAGAAAAACGTTCCAAAAAAGTTGTCCGACTTTTTATATACCATCGTTAGCGACTTTCTTCCCATCAGTTACAAGTACATTCATATGTCCGACCTCATCCGAGCGATTATTGTAAACTCTGAATTGTGCCAGGGGCGTGGGGACGAGGACGTAGAGATTTTGGAATTCATGGACATGATGCAGATTATAGGAAAGACCGTATAAAATAGGTGGGGTTATTGCACAAACACACCGATACACACCTGAGTATGTTACCACCCCGTATGTGTTCAGCAGTTAGGAGTTATGGCCATCCCATCAAAAGAACCTCCCATGGGGCTGTAAAAAATATTTGCCCTCGTGCGCTACCTTAAAAAGGGCTGTTTTTAAGCAACCCAATCTCATGGCCATGTACGCACACGCAACAGCGTTAGAGTAGCGGGCAAATCACAATTTAATTATGACACAGGGATACTGTTTTGTAACTGCATGAATTTAAATACACGGGGGTTGCACAACGCTGCTGCAAAATGAATCAGCGAATGTGTGGGCAAAGATGGGTGGCCCCATACGGCATAAAATTACAATAAAAACTGAGGAAACCCATATGGGGGTATAAAATAAAATAAATAAATGGGCCACACACAGAGAAGGGATACACTCACAAAGGGGGAAGCCCGCAACAAATGTAAAAAGGGGTACACAACCCCATTATATTCATCACGCGTACAAATACGAATGAGCAAAAAAAAAAAAAAAAAAAAAAAAAACAGCGCAGTCAATCCTCAACTTCCCTCGAATCAATCAACTTCCATTTCTTTAAAACATTAATGAGGGTCTGCTCGGAAAAATTATCACCGCCCAACTCGTCAAACCCAATGATGGAATGCTCAGTTTGTCCATTCTGAATAAGCATCAAGGTAGGAATGCACCAAATTTTCAAGCGCTCACAAAGGAAAGGAGATTTCTCAGCATTAATCTTAACAAAATTAATATGTAGAAATTTCTTGGACATGCTGATCAATTTGCTGTCCAGGTATTCACACCTCCAGGTGGTATTCCTGTAAAAATGGCAACATACATTTTTTGAACTTTTACAGATTTCGAAAAATTCTTTTTCTGATAAAATTTCCTTATATATCCCATGTCCTTTTTTAAGCAAATTTAAATTTTCATTATGTTTATTTTTAAGTTCTTGTAATCTTTTATTTTTTATAAATTCGAGTTCTTCATCATTATCATCGTATATTTTTTTTTCCAGTTTTTCGTATCTTTTAATTTCCAGGTCTATTTCATTTTCTTTATCGCGCAGCGCGTCCAGGAGGTGCTTTTCTATGTTTCTCGTTACTTTGTTATTCATTTTGTTTTCCCCTGTTTTTTTTTTTTTTTTTTTACCTTTTTACAATTTCTCCTTTTTGGAACAAAACCAAGCAACGTAACAAGGAATGTAGAAACGCGCCCCTAACGGATAAACCCTTCCCAAATTTGTAATTTTTTTTTTTTTTTAACCGTTTTAAAAAAAGGCAAAGCTTCCGAGTAGGTGACGCTGAACTGGTAACCCTTCCTCTATACCAGCTGTGCTTAAATGTAAGCACGCATGCCTGTAATACTTTCCTTGTTCATAATTGTATGTTCCTTTTTTGAATAGTTCTTTGTTGCGTTGTTTCCACCGGTTGTATTCTGCTCCTGAATAAGTCTAGCTGCTGCCTTACCCATCCGTGGATCCACACGCCACCACCGAGGACAAAATGAAAGTCGAAAGCAACAACAGCGACGTGAGCGACCCGTTCGCGGCGTCGCAGATTATAGGCGATAAGCTGCTGCAAGGCTGGACCTTGCTTAATGAGTGTTGCCACATGGTAAGATGCGCTTGAATTTAACAAACACGTGCCAATTGCCACTTGTACCCATAGGCGATACTGCCCAAACGTGAAAACTGCCTCCCTCATGACCGTTTTTCCACCCCCTGACCGCAGTGCATGGTGACTCCCCTCATTAAGCAGAAGAACAAAGAGGAGAGATTCTGTGCCAAGTGCAACGTGTACATTGTTTCTGAAAAACCAGACGGGGATGAACTCGTCACTAAAGGAAGCAGCAACATGGATGGAAAGAAAAATGTCGAAGGAGAATGCCAAAGGGATGTCCACCTAGAGGGTTCGCAAAATTTGACTTCCGGAACAAACAATGCAAATGTAGAAGCCGACACATGTGTCTCAGCAGAGAAGCAGCCATATCCAGATTCATATGCAGACCCCATTTTTGAGGAAAAAATGTCCCCCATAGAATTCATTAAGGAAATAAAACTCCAGCATGACGAGTTCAACCAAATCTTAAACAAAAATAAAATCACAAAGGAAGAAACGGAAAATTTAATAGAGTACAAAAAATACATAAAGGAAAGGTGCGGGTATGAACTGGGCGCGTGGATGAACAGTAATGGAAATGGCCTCAATGGCATTCAAATGAGTAATAAAAAAGAAAGCCAAAAAAAGGCAACTAGTTTAGCCAACAAGGATATGGATATGGATCCCGACGTGGAAGATAAAAAGCAAGACAAGTTTCCACATGAAGGAAAGAAAAATCACCAAGGACATAAACAAGGACACTCGAGTCAGAAGAGAGAATATGTAAGTGACTCCACACAAAGACGCCCAGATCTTATAATCTCGAAGGAAAATTATTTCCCTAGTGGAAGAATCGATTTTAACAAATATACAAATTACAAGGTAGACTTTATGATCCTGGACAATGCTAAGGATGCCTTCATGCAAAAGCTAGATAAGTATGTGAAACAGCTCAGCAGCTGTGATAGTAAGAGTGACGAGAATGAGTACATTGGCCAAGTCGCCATTGTCGTTGACGTACTAGAAAGGTTAAACAATTTAAGAAGAAACATTCACATAGTCATTTAGAGGACACATATATAAGGGTTGTGGAAAAGTGAGTGTGCGTACAAGTGTACCACCTCCTTTTCAGTACTCTTCAACAGATCAAAATTGCCCACATGGTGAATACCATGCTGTAAGGCCACTTATTGTACCAACCGTTTTTATCACACATCGGTTTACACATTCAAAGTTGATTAATTTTTTTTTTTTTTGTTTGAAATATCACGAGGACTTTGCCCATATGGCCATGTCACCATGTAGCCATTTTTTTTTTTTTTACATAAATGGAAAAAGAAATTGCTACACCACATTTTGTCCATTCTTTGTAGTAATCCTGCGGCCACGTTTTGGGGGCGTTATACGAATGCACACGGATGGGTGTACGTACAGAGGTAGCTATTACTATAAGCCCTCTATCCAAATATGTATTTTTTTTTTTTTTTTTTTTTTTTT